CAAGGTGCCTCTAGCCAAGCGAGCGTCGTTGACACCCTCGCAGCAAGTGGAGCAGCAACAAATCCTCAACATCCTACTTGACGATGCTGGCAAGGACTGGAAACCCCGCGACAAAAGTACGACGCACGTGAAATGTGGAAATTCTAATTGGGTCTTGTTGTAGCCCGCAAACAACCAGTGAATGCTGCGAAGCAACAAGGAGGGAAGCAGGGCCACAAGACTACTCCCGTCCAGAAGACTACATCCAAAGGCCCGACCCAAAAGGCTGTACAGCCTTCCGTTGCCACCAAACCTGCCAGTGCTCCAGCACTCGTGAAACGAGCCTCGCTGACCCCAGTTCAACAGCTCGAACAGACGCAAATCCTCAACATCCTCCTCGACGATGCTGGCAAGGACTGGAAACCTCGCGACAAAAGTCCGACGATAGTCCATTGGTTTCACCTAGAACTGATAGTTCGTGTGTAGCCCCCAAACAACCCGTTCACAAGCATGCTGCGAAGGGAGGCAAGCAAGCGCGAAAGGCCCCCGTGCCACAAAAGACGGGTGCTCAGAAAGCGGCTGTAGTGCAGAACGCTCAAAAGTCTGGCGCGGCCCCTGCCGTGGCTGCGAAGCCCGCTCCTGCCCTGGTGGTCAAGCGCGCGTCGTTGACGCCAGTTCAACAAGCCGAGCAACAGCAAATCCTCAACATCTTGATTGATGATGCCGGCAAGGACTGGAAACCCCGCAACACAAGCACTTGGCCCTGGTCTCCCAAGGCCTCGGCTCCTTCGAACTTTTCTACGCAGAAAGCCCAAACTCCCACGAAAACCCAAACTGCCCAAGAGCAAAAGATGGCGCTTCAAACGACAAAGCACATCCAGTCGAAAGCCAACCAAAGCCGGGCCAAATTAGCCACTTAGAGCATCTCCACAGCAGTAGTGTAGTATTCGCCTATTTGATCGATACGCACTCCATTCATATTGTACGTACAGTACTTCCTTGTCCACACTGCAGACACGTCGGCGAGTACGAACAAGTTTTTTTTTAAGTAGTTTGTTCACGGTTGCCACGTCCATGTTTTCCAGTCTGAGTAAGACTAGCCCCCCATGAACACATCCTTTTAACAGACTTCTGATGCTACTCGTTTGTATGCGCCACGGTGCTTGCTGTACACCGTGGAGCAACTGGATTGCAAATTTCACCTTGCAAACATTTCTTACGACTACCTGGATTGTTGTACAGGGAGATGAGTATAGAATTAAAGGTGTGCCATTGTCGAGGGGATACATGCATCTTTATTCAAGTAGTCACGTGCGAGTCAACCAGAAACTGAAGCTGCCACTTCCACGGAGTCCAACGGCGTGTACATATGCGGGAAAGACGCGACGACCAGGTCAGTGATTTCTCAATGCGTACTGCACAACGGGTCACGAAACTCTGCATTCTTCATAACAACAACCAATTCTATCAACAACACCTTATTGCACGTCGCCTGAATCAACAACTGTAGAGAAAGACAACTTCAAACGTATCAAATTCGTCGTATTTCAAGAACAAGCGTGTATATGCGGGTAATATGCCTTATGCCAGAGAGAGCTGTGCATGCGTAGATCATGCTGCATAGGCTGAGTTAGTAATGGGCTATCTGGTAGTATTAGTACGATTGCGCTAAGTATTACACAGCTCCAGAAAAGCGACATCGAAGTTCGTCCATTTTCGGCATAACGTTACTGTCCTGCATGTCGACATGATGCTCATACTGTACGCAATAAAAATGTATCATCCGCAAATGTAATGAAGTATCCGGAACTGCTCAGATTTCAATGTGAAACGGCGCGAATTTTCTGAATACTGGTATGCAAGCACTGCACTTGCAATGAGCGATAGAAAGCGTGTCAGTACAGCCAAAGTCCCTCTCCAACAAGTTGGGTGGCTCCGAAGAAGAAATCCAAATTTTGCTTTCGCCGTCCAGAAATGCCTCAATTTTGGCCTTACATAACTTCGTGCTATGATGAGTTTTCGTCCAGTTCCCGCATCTCCCAGTCCAGAACGAAATTATAGACGCACCCCAATGTGTTTTTTAGTTTGTCATGGAATTTAAAGTTTGATCCAAAACCATCAAAGACAAAAACCTTTAGGCCGTCTTCCGGTGGATTCTGTGTCCAGAATCCAGATTATGATAATCTAGGTTTTTGAATCCGGATAAGTGTCAAAAAGTTGCACACACATCCTGGACAATGGATCTATATCATTGGTCTACATTGGTTTTTGCTCCTTTTCATTGGCTCCACTATCTATGACTCCTCTTTTTAGGCAAATGACTGTCAGATAAAACGATATACAATGTGCTATTTTGACTTAATCAAGTATTCTGACCGAAATGTTGCATCACGTCGTGCACGAAGTCGATGCTTCTTGACGGCGATCGCTCCGGGTTTACAGAAAGCTAGAAAACTGGCGATTGCAACATTGTAGCATGAGTGATGAATCCTCAATGTAGCCAAAAACCTAAATATAACGTACTTTGCAAGTAATTAACTCGATGAATATAGCTCGTAGAGAAGCGACACGACCTCTATGATATGTCATTATGTAGAAATAACGCTTGTGAACACGCGAAATGAGTCTCGGGCTGATCAGATTACTTTGGCCCATGTTGTGTGCCTTTGAAAGTAGCTTCCTCAAATATAACATCCAAGTTGACCAACTTTGTTAGCTATGTTGGATTCCAAATATAATACTAGTATCACTTAGCATCGTTTTGATGTGTTGTTTTTTACTGTTAACATAGTATTCACGCCATGTTAAAAATAATGAAACGGTTTTCTTGTTTCGAAGAATAGTGGGCTTGACGACCAAATCACCAGCGAAGATGTGACGAGGAAGATTTCTGTCAACCAGGTGAAGTAAGAACTAATCCGATCGTTTAACATTGCGACAATAGTCAGCAGCTTCATCGAGTTCGTTCTAATATGACCATTTCCCTCACCCTCTAGAATTATTTGCGAAATCTCCACACAATCACTCACGTACCGGTAAACAACGTACGAACCCGAAAGGTTAGACTTTCCGATGCTGATTCGGAGCGCGGTGATGATGCTTGGAATACTATATAGAATGTACGCCTTAAAAAGTGGGCATGCCCAATCCCAGGCGCAAAAGCGGGGCGTATACGGTATTGTCCAGTCGGTTCGTAATTGGAATCGCCAGTAGAATCGAATAGACTTGGCAAATCGATTTGAGAATGAACTAGCCAATCAAAATCCATTCTACCCCGTGATTCAGCCAATCAATGCGTTTTCTAAAACCCGTCCGTTCCAGCTTGAACTCTCTGTACTATAGTGAATACAAGATATATTGCCTAGTTATTCAAAAACGGTTTCACTTTTGGACTGATACTGTTCAAATTTGCGTGAAATGGACAATATATGGATGAAAAGTATATCGATTGATAAAGCAAATCCTGTGTGTCTACGTGGCCAACTTTGCCCGGCCTTGGTTGGCTTTCGCCTGGATGTGCTTGGTCGCTTGGGGCGCCACCTTTTGTTGCTGAGTAGGTTGGGTTTTCGTGGGAGTTTGGGGGTTGGGTCTCGCGTTTTGGGGGGTCTGTTGGTTACCCTTGTGGTGTTTCTTAGACGGCTCCTTGAAGTCTCCGAGCACGGACAGAATGGCGTCTTGTTCCGTGCGCAAATCCTTCTTCTCCTTGATGCTCGTGCGGCGGGACTTGACCGTCTCAAACCCGCTGAAGTCTTCATTCGCATCCACGGGGGGATTCGAGACCACGACCGCGTTGCCCACTCTGTGCAAGTCGGCCTTGACTTGGGTCGACGACCCTCGACGAGTGATACGAGCGGGGACGAACTCGTACGGATCCAAGAGGATTTCCATGATTTCTCGCTTCTCCTTCTTCTGCGCGTCCGTCAACGAGCTACGGCGAGTCAGCAGCGCTGGCTTCGCACCCTGGACGGCGGCGGCCATGGGGGCAACCGGCTGGGCTTTGGCAGGGGCCGACTTGGGTTTCTGCGAGGTCTTGGCCTTTTGACTGGCAGGCTTCTTGTACGGCTGCTTGGGTGCAGCTACGAGACATCGTTAATAATCACAGAGTTCCAGAGGTGGCAGTACTTTTGTTGCGAGGTTTCCAGTCCTTGCCGGCATCATCAATCAAGATGTTGAGGATTTGCTGTTGCTCGGCTTGTTGAACTGGCGTCAACGACGCGCGCTTGACCAGGGCAGGAGCGGACTTCGCAGCCACGACCGGGGCCGTAGCAGACTTTTGGGCGTTCTGCACTGGAGCCGCTTTCTGATCAGGTCCTTTTTGAGCAGCAGGCTTTTGGGCCTTTTGTTGCACAGGGGCTTGTTGCGCCTGTTTGCCCCCCTTTTGCTTGGCAGCATGTTTCTGAATGGGTTGTTTGGGGGCTACACACAATGCATCAGTCCTGGGTTCAATCGAAATGGTGCGACGTACTTTTGTCGCGGGGTTTCCAGTCCTTGCCAGCATCGTCAAGTAGGATGTTGAGGATTTGTTGCTGCTCCACTTGCTGCGAGGATGTCAACGACGCTCGCTTGGCTAGAGGCGCCTTGGCGGAATGCTGAGGGGCCGTGGCAGGCGCCGCCTTGGAGGCTTGGCTTTCCTTGGGAGATCCTTGCACGGGTTGTTGTTTATGTGTGGCTTTCGCAGGTTCATTTTTCTGTTGTTTTTGTTGCTGGACGGGAGCTTGCTGCACGGCTGCCTTGGCTGGCGAGGGGGTTGCCTTTGCAGGCTGACTCTTCGGCTGAGTTGGCTTTTGCTGTTGGGCTGGTTGTTGGGCAGCCTTTTGGGTTTGCTTGGCGGAGGGCTTGGCAGGCATGGTTGAAGAGCGAAATTCAGAAATGAGGCTTTTGCTGAAGAAGTCGGCTTCCGTATTTCTGGATCATCGCCGACTGTATTTTTAGACTTCGGGTGCTGCCTGACAACATCGACGATGCAAGTCTTATCGGCCCTGTGACCCAATGAAAGTAATTCCAACTCGGTTGACATAATTATAGGTCGAATTGTTCGACACGGCCCCATTCGACACCGTAGTACTCAGTCCTACGTCCTGTATGTTAACTCACTGTAGCAAGCACTACTAGTACTTGACTTAAAGTTCTTAATCACTTAAAGTTACGAATTTACAGTTAAATTATGTCAACCGAGTTGGAATTACTTTCATTGGGTCACAGGGCCGATAAGACTTGCATCGTCGATGTTGTCAGGCAGCACCCGAAGTCTAAAAATACAGTCGGCGATGATCCAGAAATACGGAAGCCGACTTCTTCAGCAAAAGCCTCATTTCTGAATTTCGCTCTTCAACCATGCCTGCCAAGCCCTCCGCCAAGCAAACCCAAAAGGCTGCCCAACAACCAGCCCAACAGCAAAAGCCAACTCAGCCGAAGAGTCAGCCTGCAAAGGCAACCCCCTCGCCAGCCAAGGCAGCCGTGCAGCAAGCTCCCGTCCAGCAACAAAAACAACAGAAAAATGAACCTGCGAAAGCCACACATAAACAACAACCCGTGCAAGGATCTCCCAAGGAAAGCCAAGCCTCCAAGGCGGCGCCTGCCACGGCCCCTCAGCATTCCGCCAAGGCGCCTCTAGCCAAGCGAGCGTCGTTGACATCCTCGCAGCAAGTGGAGCAGCAACAAATCCTCAACATCCTACTTGACGATGCTGGCAAGGACTGGAAACCCCGCGACAAAAGTACGACGCACGTGAAATGTGGAAATTCTAATTGGGTCTTGTTGTAGCCCGCAAACAACCAGTGAATGCTGCGAAGCAACAAGGAGGGAAGCAGGGCCACAAGACTACTCCCGTCCAGAAGACTACATCCAAAGGCCCGACCCAAAAGGCTGTACAGCCTTCCGTTGCCACCAAACCTGCCAGTGCTCCAGCACTCGTGAAACGAGCCTCGCTGACCCCAGTTCAACAGCTCGAACAGACGCAAATCCTCAACATCCTCCTCGACGATGCTGGCAAGGACTGGAAACCTCGCGACAAAAGTCCGACGATAGTCCATTGGTTTCACCTAGAACTGATAGTTCGTGTGTAGCCCCCAAACAACCCGTTCACAAGCATGCTGCGAAGGGAGGCAAGCAAGCGCGAAAGGCCCCCGTGCCACAAAAGACGGGTGCTCAGAAAGCGGCTGTAGTGCAGAACGCTCAAAAGTCTGGCG